CATAAATTTAGAATCCTTTTAAGTGTTTCAAGCATTTTTTCTGTATTGACTCTTTTCTTCTACTTACATATTTTTTTTCAGAGACTGTGTTCTCTATGACATTGATTCTTTGTTATTTTTGAGAGTTCTTTGTAGTCTTTGCAATCTGCATATATGTGATAAATTTTCTAAATTTTTCATATGTGCTTGAAAAGAATGTGTATTTCCCTATTATTATACTCAGGGTTCAATATATGTCTGTTGGATCAAGCTTTGATTTTTTTTATGTTTAATCCATTAATTACTGAGAGTATTATATTGATTTCGCCCATGGTGTGGATTTGTTAAATTTCTCCTTGTAATTATGTAGTCAAAATATTTCTGGTGAAGCATTCCTTTTATTATTAGATAATAACTCTTTATGCCTAAAAATATTTTTCACCTTGAAATGCATTTGGTCAGATATTAATAAAACTATAATTTTGGATGGAGGGGCAAATATTTGCCTGTTGCCTGATAAGTGCGTCTCTACTTTTATATTTTAAATGTGTCTCTTGTAAGCATCATAGAGGTATATTTTTGTTTTTTGATACAATCTGAAAAAATCTATATTTTAGAACAGTTGAGTATATTCTAATACATATACTAATTACCAATATATTTGTATTTCTTTCTGCCATTTTATTTTGTGCTTTTTATTTAGCCTTTTTTAAATACATATTTATGGGGTACAGAGTTGACCTATCAGTATTTGTGTACAGTATGTGATAATCAAATCAGTACTATTAGCAGTACAAAGAGGGAAGTTTATTGCAATAAGTGCTTTACGTCAATAGAATGGAAAGACTTCAAATAAACAACCTAACATTAAATCTCAAAGAACTAGAAAGACAAAAACAATCGAACCACCCAATCAGTAGATGGAAAGAAATAATTAAGATTAGTGCAGAACTAAATGAATAGAGACCCCAAAAATGATATAAAAGATCAATGAAACACAAAGTTGATTTTTTGAGAAGATAAACAGAATAGACAAACCATTAGCTAGACTAACTAAAAAAAAGTAGAGAGAAAACCCAAATAACAAAAATTAGAAATGAAAAAGAAGACATTACAACTGATACTAGAGAAATACAAGGAATCATTAGAGACTATTATAAACAACTATATGCCAACAAACTCAAAAACCTGGAGGAAATGGATAAATTTCTGGACACATACAAACTACCAAGACTGAACCAAGAAGAAATAGAAAACCTGAACAGACAATAACAAGTAACAAGATTGAAGCAGTTATCAGCATTCTCCTAACAAAGAAAAGCCCAGGACCAGATGGCTTCACTGCTGAATTCTATCAAACCTTTAAAGAGGAATTTAACACCAATCCTTCTCAAACTATTCCAAAAAATTGAAACAGAGGCCATTCTCCCAAATTCATTCTATGAGGCCAGCATTACCCTAATACCAAGACCAAAGACACAACAAAAAAGAAAGCTACAGGCCAATATCCTTGATGAACATAGATGCAAAACTCCTCAACAAGATACTAGCAAACAGAATACAGCAACGCACCAAAAAGATTATACACCATGATGAAGTGGAATTCATCCCCAGATTGCAAGGATAGTTCCACATACGCAAATCAATAAATGTGATACACCACATCTACACTGCTTTTTTAATACTGCTTTTTCTTTCCTCCCTTTTATACTATTTAATGGGTTTTCTTTCTTCCCTTTTTTTCTCTACTTTTGGTTTCAAAGTTCTGTAGTCAACTTTTAATGGCATATGTTGTTCTCATCTAATATTTTAAAATCAAGCTGTTTACAGCCCTCCCCAAAGGTAGCCATTATTATGTTTTAGACAGTTGGAGCTTCTTTAGATTTACCTGAGTATTTATCACTGTTTTCCTTCACCATTTTCTTTCATCTCACTCTTTCCTTTGGGGTCCAGTTAACTTATTCTTTATGTATAGCATCTAACAGTTCTTTCAGTGAATTGTGTTGATAATGTGTAGGTCTTTGCTTGAATTTTTTTTAAAGCTTACTCTATTGTTGAAGTATAATTTAACTGAGTATAGAATTCTACCTTGATAATTTTCTTGGCTCTGTGAAGTGTTTTCCACTGCCTTTGACATAGACTGTTGTTGTGAAAGGTCTACTCTCAGTTCATTATTGTCCCTTTATAGTACTGTTTTTTCTTCCTGCCATTTTAGAGATCTTCCATTTGATTTTGGTATTTGGAATTTTATCTTGTATCTAGGTATGTATTTATTTGTCTTCCTTGAGATGCATTCTTCTTCCCAAAATCCACATGAAGCATTGACCCATGGTTTTAGATTCTTCAAGGGAAACTTTGCTTCACTCTCCTAGAGACCAGGATGACACAAAAAATCTTTGTTAATATATTCCTATGTTGATGAGTGACTTTTATTATTGGTTTAGCTCTTTGGGATCCTGGCGTTCCAACCCAACTGGTGTTCCAAGTGTCAAAGTTACCTAAAAGCAGCCTTTCCTCACCCCTTCTCCTCCCACTCTCTACAGCTTATAGTGTCAATGCACATATTTATGGCACTTGTTTTCATTTCTCCTCATTATTACCTCCGTGATTTACCTGTATTTCTTGTTCATATAGCTATTTTAAAAATTGGGGGTTTAGGGCCGAGCCCGTGGCGCACTCGGGAGAGAGCAGCACTCCCGCCGCGGGTTTGGATCCTGTATAGGGATGGCCGGTTCACTCGCTGGCTGAGTGCGGGGTGCGGCCGGTCTCAAAAAGGACAAAAAAAAAAAAAAAATGGGGGGTTTAGCTAGGTATGTTATAGCTAGAGGCTTCAGTTTATCTAGTGTTATTAATAGAAGCTATTTTTTGTTGATTTGTTTTTTTCTATGGCCTTAACTTCTATTTGTGTGATAGTTGAAAACTATTCATTTTTTTTCATCATGGTATGAATATATCCAGATTTTTAAATGTAGGAATATTTATAATATCCATCTGAAATGGTTCAGTGAAAAAACAAGACACAGAGTAACAGGTATTATATATTCTCATCTATATATAAACAAATATTTGAGAAAACTGAAAGTAGTTTGGTTGGAACATTGGGTTTGTGGAGGACCAGAGGAAGGCAAAGGTAATAGAGCAAGCTGTGAAGTTAGGATGAGGCATGTTCCACATCATAAAGTACCTCATGTGCCAAGTTAAGCCACTTGACCTGATCCTGTAGTCAGGGTTGAGTCACAGGGAACACACTCAGATCCATTTTGTAAAAAACCATTTGTACTGGACTAGTGCCACAGACATCAAAAGTAAGCCAGTTAGTTCACTGGTGATGTAGTTTAGTTGAGAACTAACGGCAGTGGAAATGGGGATAGAAAAGTACTGTCAAAAACACAAGAGACGTTGAAAAAAAAAAAAAACACAAGAGACGTTGATGTGGTATGGGGGAAGGAGAGGAATGAAAAAGTAGAAAAGAATGGGTTACCCTTGAGCCATAGAAAATGGGGAAATAAGGTAATCTAACATTCCTACCTGTAGCTCAATGATTAAATGGTTGAGCAGAGGTTCTTTGGGAACATTTTTTATATGACTTGCTGTTGATACATCCAATTGAAAAGGACCAGTAGGCATTTGAATATTGTCCATATAATTGGGAAAGGTCTAGGCTGGAGATCAATAAAAACAATTGGAAGTTGGTGGCATAAATGTAGCTAAATTTGAACTTATAAATAAACTTCTCATGGAGTTCATTTTGAGACGAAGGAAATGAATTAGTATCCAGAGAGACTTGTGATCAAGAGAGTGATGGAAATGACTTTGTTTTTTACATAGAGATATTTTTATGGTTTACTTCATAAACTTTAACCAACTTTAATTAAGTACTGGGGCCAAAAGGGAGAAAGGTTAAATACTTGAGAGAGAATATAAGTGATACAGCAAGTTTCCAAAGGAGGTAGGGCTTAACTTCACAGCCACGTGTTCTTGAGGACAAGGACAGGATGAAAATGTAATTAGGATAATGGGAGTCAGTAATTTTTTTTTTTCCCCTGGTGTAGGAATCAAAATCATAAGCTCAGCTTGGGAACAGCAATAGTAACATAGTGTGGAAGATTTTCAGGAGGGTTTGGTTTAAAATAGTCACAGAGGGAGTGATAGATAACTACCACTAGACAGATAACTAGGAGCAATTAAAAGAATTTGATCTCGGGCCGGCCCATGGCTCACTTGGGAGAGTGCGGTGCTGATAACACCAAGGCCCCGGGTTCAGATCCCATATAGGGATGGCTGGTTGGCTCATCGGGTGAACGTGGTGCTGACAACACCAAGTCAAGGGTTAAGATCCCCTTACCGGTCATCTTTAAAAAAAAAAAAAAAAGAATTTGATCAGCAACACTGAAAGCCTCATCAAGGTAAATGACCAAAGTATTTTCATGGCATCACTCTTTGTGGTGGTATGATTTGTTTATTTGTTTTAATCTTTATTTCAGCAGTGTTTAGCATACTGGGTATAATGTATAGAATGTCAGTTTTGAGTGAATATGGTGAAAGAAGCAAGAGGCAAGCAGTGTTGCAGGTGCTGTCCATACTGTGTTACAGTAGTATCTCTACTGAGTTTAACAAATGGAATCAATAGCCAGTTTGTTTGGGGTTTTTTTTTTAGGTATAATTATGTAGGACTAGGCAAAAATAGATTAAGGAGAATAAAAACTAACGCAGAAGATACAGGTTATTTTTCCAAATTCTGCACTAGAGGGATATCGCATACTCTCTTCAAGAATGCTAGTTTACTCCTGTAATTATTAAGAAAAGGAACTTGTACTTATAAGTCCCCCTGGTGGATAAGGACCAAAAAAGTCAAAATAACAGTGAACTAAATCATGAGGGTAGAGAACAATCATTTGGTTTACATATATTATTTTGATTGTCTGTATTGCTTAACTCTTCAGTAATGCTCTTAGGAAAGATAATGCATAAGTAATTCATTTTATTCTTTTTTTTTTTTGCATATGTTTTGTTTATTCAAGGCTTTCTGTGAGACTTTAGAAGAGACTAACTACCATTTACAGAAAGAACTACTTGAAAAACAAAAAGAGGTGGAGTCACTGAAGAAACTGCTTAATGAGAAGCAAATTCATATAGACATTTTAGAGAACAGAATCAGGTTTGTAGTGATACTTGCATTTTTAGTCTGACTAACTTAACTTTTTTAATATTCTAGGTTAAATGCCCTTTATGTTTTAATATGATTTAGGAAATTTCTGATTCTGAAAGTGGTAGATTCTTATAGATTGAGAAAATTGTCTTTTGATTATTTAGGAGGCTAAAAATTTGATAGATGGGAGACTTGAGGAATATAAAAGCCTCTAGCTCTTCAACAAGATAAACATTATTCAATTTCACCCATTTAAATGTCAGCTTTATTTTAATTTATCTACAATATAGTTAATTTTTATGTCCCTTTAACAATTCCTCCTTTTCCTCCCTCTCCCCACATCATCATATCTGTTCACATCTTAACAAAATCAAGGCATTTATGCTGACTTTTCACATATAAAAGCTCTAGTTTGCCTTCTCCTCAGCATATATTGAATTAATGCTAAAAACCCATTTTAAACTATACAAACTTCTTTGCTAACACCCAGAGTGAGCTGTTAGCCATATGACTACATTAAGACTTAACAGCTGAAGACTACTAAAGCTACATGTATTCACAACAATAAACATACCTGTTTAAAGAAAATAACTTGTTGCTGTAACATACTTTTAGAACATTGTCTTTAGAACATGAAGAGTCACTGTATGTGTCAGGAACAGAAGGTGGACAGATCCTAAAGGTGGAGTCCTCTGCACTTGAGACTGATCAAGATGTCTTGGATGAAGAATCTCGGTATGTAATGTTTGGTTTATTATAGCCTAATCATTTGAATATTGTAGGGAAGTGGTTCTAATATGCTGTAGAGGTCATTATTTTTTTATGAACTCAGTGCTATTGTATCATGAATCTACTGAGCAAACAGAGAAGGGCTATAAATATTCTAGGGTCTCCCAAAAAATGTGTCTTTGGCATCTGGCTGTAAGTTTTCTCATTATTTACTTTGAAGCTATGTATGAATTAACTGGGCTCTGATCCAGTTAACTCATTAATTTTGTAAATCTTGACAAATTATTTTCATCTCCCTCATATCACTCTTTTTCCATTCAAAAAATGGGACAGTATAACAACTGTGCCTACCTAATGGGAACAAGGAAAAGATAATGTATTTGAAAGCATGTACAATTTTTATTTCATATAAATCCAAAGGTAATTGTTAATACTGGAGTGGTAATGGGGTTGAGCTATAAATGTGAGAACAAATTTTATGTTAGTGTAGAGGTTGTTACAAACTAGATTTTTCTTGGTAAATGGTAATTTGGAGAGCTGAGTTAAAAAATATATCTCCAAAGATGTTACCTGGCAGTGACAACTTAAAAATATTAAATTTCTGATTGAATATTTATATATTCTTTCTATAAGGTAAAATATTTATAAAAGTAACATGAAGCAAAATAGCATGCATCCAATCCCTTCACTGACAGAAATGTTTCTCTCTTTTTGCAGAGCTGATAATAAGCCATGCTTAAATTTTAGTGAACCTGAAAATGCTGTATCAGAGATAGAAGTAGCAGAAGTAGCATATAATGCTGAAGAATACTAATTCTTTATAAAGGATAAGAGAAAAGGACTGGGAATCATTTACAGAAAAGAGCAAGAGTGCACATATATAAAGTTTACATAAAGCTTTTTTAAGTTATTGGAATAGGAAATATGTTCACTGCTGCTGCTTATCTTTTATCCAAACTTGTATTTATTACACTAAAAAAATCTAGTTAGAATTCTGTTATCAAGGCCTGTATTCTTAAATACTGTGCATAAATTATTGATGTTTTGCCTATATATTGCTCCACACGTGTGTGTGTGTGTGTGTGTGTGTGTGTGTGTGTGTGTGTGTGTGTGTGTGTTTTAAATCACCAGTTATATTAAACAGAAATTATTTGCATGTTACTATCTGGGTGATATGTATACTTCTTTGTATCTCTGTCATGACATATTTTCATTGATGGTTTAAATCAATGAACATCATAGTAAAGATAAAGATGAGTTAAGTTTTAAATGTTGACATGTTTACCATCTCTAAATAAAAAATGCTTATTTGAAATGTTAATGGTGTTTAAAAGAAGACTTCCTAGAACCAAAGGAAAACTATTTGAAAAAGCCGTAGTCTTATAGCTAAAGTGAGAAAATAGCCTTGATTCTAAAAGCTGATTCGTTAATATCAAGATAGTATTAGTGTTCCAGTTTATAAAATATGTTATACTTGTTTATTTTTCACATGATCTTTATCTTAAATCTCTACCTGGGAATTCAGTAAGTTCGCCTCTTTCAAAACACTACCTTTTTTGCTAATCAAGGCATATTCTTTTGAATATACTACAGATTCTAAGCAAATAGGGAGTTATACAAAAAAAAGAAAACAAATAAAAAGCCATATATACTGCAACATTCCTAACTCCTGGAATTGCATTTTTATTTCTGTATATGTGAAGATGTTGTTTTACTGTATTGATTTTTCTGTTAATATATTTAGCCAAGTGATGCACTTTATGATAATTAAACTCTTTTGTGCCAAGTTTAATTGGTGAATTTCTTTAGTAAGTGTAGTGAGGAGAAAGAATTATGTAGTGCCTTTACATTTCACTTTTTACAAAAGTCTCCTAGGGCCTATGAGTCAGCTTTATGAAAAAAAAATGTTCATGCTTATTTCAGCTTTGTGTACAGTTGTTGAAAGTGCCTTGTTTCATTTTTATAGTATGAAGTTATTTATTTTCTATTTCTACTGCTTTGCATATTGCTGTTAATATGCATTGTAATCATTCTAGCATTTGGAAATCCCAGTTGCCATATTGAACTGCATATGCTTTCTAAAAAATTGAGGGAAACTTACTGGGGAAATAGCATAACAATCTCCATTTTTTTTCTTTACTATCTAAAAGTTTATCTGTATCTAGATGTACATATTAAGATGTGGTTGTTTAAAATTCTACTGACATAGATCATCATATCCAATGGCTGTTGCTAACCTGTGATCCAAAAAGGAGACTACTTTTTACCAAAGTACCAAAAAATTTTAAGTATTTGTCAGAATGCACACTTTCCACAAAGTATATTAGAAATGTGTTTACTATCCTTAGAGACAGAAATTAATATAATAAACAAACAGGTAAGCTAATTTATTTTAAAATTATTTTACTTTACAAAAGAACAATCATTTAAATTAATCAATACCATTTGATTCTAATAAAACAAATAGTCTTTGCCAAATTTCAGATATTATAGTGCTGCATGTCTTTTTAAAATGAACCACACACTTTTAAAATGTGACTTTTCAGAAGACTATTTAAAGTTCTGGGTGGGTTAAAAAAAAAATTAGGTAAACCACTATTATTTATATTTAGAATTTACATATATATATATATATATATA